CGCGCCCCCGTCCATGGCATCCATGGCGTCCTCGGCGTCGCGCTTGTCGTGGAAGCGGACGAAGGCGAAGCCGCGGGACTCCTTGGTGTAGCGGTCCCGCGGGATGTACACGTCGCCGACGCGCCCGTACTTCTCGAAGACGCGCCTCAGCGTGTCTGGCGAGGTGCGGTAGGTCAGGTTGTCCACCTTGAGGGAGGTCATGCCCTCCACATCGGGAGGCGGGCGGCCGTAGCTCATGGCTCCGAGAGGCGTACCAGGGCTCCGACAACTGGTGCCGAGACACTAACGCCCTGGGCGGGCCCGCGCGCTCCGACGCGGCGACGGCTTCTTCAAGCCTGGGCGGTCCGACGGCGCGCGTATTCTCTGCAGTTACTTCCCGCGTGGGAACACTCAGGCCGGATAGGAGGCGAAGCACACTAACAGCGCAGCTGCGCGCACCTGGGCATCAACTAGGCGGGCGGCCGGCTCCAGCGCCGGTTTATATGCCTTCGCACAAAATGGCGCCCGCGCCACCCGGAAATGAATTCTCTGATTGGATCGCCGCACTCCGCCCCGTAACGTCGCTGCCGCGCGCCCCGCCCCGGCCCGAGGCGCCTGCGCAGAGCCCAGCGGGCGGGCCGAAAAGCGCGGAGTCACTGCTAGAGGGAGGGGGAGCGGCGTTTGCGGGCAGTTGGAAAGCCCGCGAAACGCTCTTTCCGCCCGCGAGGCGAGGTGAGGGCGCCGGGATAGGAGGAAGGGGCGGGGCTTCCTGGCCGGGCCCCGCCTTCTCTATAGGCCAATATCCGAGCGCCACGCCGCTTTCCGCTAGGCCCTCAGTCAGATCTCGGTCAGAAGGCTACTCCTGCCTGCCTTTGCTTGTTGTGTACCCTAGGCATCCTCAGACACCCCTCACGTCGACCTTCAGACCCGCGGCCGCAGCGCCCGACTGCTCGCTGCCTCCCAGCATCCCTCCGCCTGGGCCCGCGTGCCGGGCCACGCTCCTCAGAGGGCGGAGAGACCTCGCGACGCCCCTGCGCAGCCGGCGCTGCCTGGGGACTACATTTCCCAGCGGGCCGAGCGGCCGGCGCGGCGGCTGCGGTCAGGTGACCGAGTCGCATGACCCGCGGTGAGTCAGGGCCCCGCGGGCGGGGCCGCGCCGGCCGCTGCTGCTCGCCTTTTGGCCTCTTAATCCCCTGGCGGGCCCCTCAGGCCGGAGCTGCTACATTCTTGGCGCTTCTCAGGGTGTGGGGCCCTTCCCTACTCGGATCCTATCCTAGGAATGTCCTAACTGTGCCATGGGGAGAACTTCACCCTAAGCCCGGATTCGGATCCGAAAACCGCAAGTTGACAGCTCGGTCGCCTTGCTCCTGCAGCTGCCGTCTCCTCTCACCATTTCGTTTCTCTCACCAGGATTGTCAGTGGGTTCGCCCCGAGGAGAGCTGACCGCCCTGGGCTGCCGCTGACCTCGGCAGAGCTGAGCAAAAATGTCCCCGGAATCTAAAAAGCTTTTCAACATCATTATTTTAGGAGTTGCGTTTATGTTTATGTTCACTGCCTTTCAAACTTGTGGAAATGTGGCGGTGAGTTGGAATCCATTCGCCCTCTTTGAAGGGGGGCGTCATGCATCCCCCAAAGATGCCTAGTTAATCATAGCTCACAGTGCGCTTTAAATGCGCCCTTCATTTTCCCACCTGGTTTTCTGCCTTTTTATGATTAGGTTTGGTTTCATGTGTCAGGCATTCTTTTCTTTTGGGAGGTGTTAAATGTTTCCTTTTCTGTCTCCAATATGATTTGGGTTTCGGATGTTGACCTTGTTATTTCTTGGCTATTAAGCTTTGCCTTAGTACTTGGGTGGTTAAGGAAACAAAAGGCAGCTGATTGCCCCCCTTTTGCCCTGTCACGGATCTGCCCTCTCTACTTCTGTGGTCATTTTTTCTTCTTTTGTAGTGGACTTTTAGTATTAAGCATTGTGAGTTCTGACTTTTCCCTCTGAGTACTAAAAGTCGGGCTTTTCTAGGGGGAAGGAGATCCCAAAACGTTTTCGTTGATTAGTTTTATCTTCTACACAGCAAACTGTCATCAGGAGCTTAAATACCACAGATTTCCATGGCAGTGGATATACCAGGTACTGTACTGTTAACCGATTGTACTTTACATGTAATGGTAGTTTATTAAATCCCATTGGAATCACCAGTAATAAAAAATTGGGATCGAATTAGCAATGATTGCTTTTGTTTTTCTCTTTAGACTATTTGGGAGAATGTAATAGACGAAAACTTGATGAGTTTAGATTTCCTGTAGAATTAGATATGAGTTTGAAATCCTGCCTTCACAGCTTACTTGCTTCGTTTTCTTAGGCAGATTATTTCCATGAGCCCAGTTTCCTTGCTCAGACAACACATGTAAAGCCTTGACACAGTGTATGGCATTCGGGAATCTCCCAGGAATTGTCATGATTACACTTTCCCGATCCTAGGCAGATGTTTTATGTGATTCTTGAAACATTTAGTCTTCTGTTTTTATAATAATTTTATGTAATTACTATATACTTCCATCAAGAACTTTTAGATTTTTGTTAAGGTGTTGAGTTGCAATTTTACAGGTGGAGAAAATGGAACGATTGGTTCTGGGAATATAATACATATATATATTTAAATGCAAACAGGTTTCTCTTCAAAATTTTTTCCCCAATGTATGGAAGGGAGGGAGAGAAAATGGAATTTTTACAGGGTATTGCCATGTCAAGATTCTTCCTGCCTCAGACTCCCAGTCAGGTAGGATCACTGTACTTGATTGTTTAGATTTGGCTGGGAACCAAACCCAGGCTTCCCATGTGGCCTTAGCCATCATGCAGTGGTGCCCTTCTGCTTATAATACTGCAGGGAACCTAAAACTTTATTTAACAAGTAAAAATTGTATGTATTTTCCATGTACAACATGTTTTTTCAAAATATATATAAAATGAAATATCCATATCATGGAATGGCTAAATTGAGCTATATACTCAGGTTTGTTAATCTGTCTATAGACAGATATTGAGTCATGGCCCTCCTGCCCATCCCAGCAATTCTTCTTACTTGGTTCCTTATGACGTAGTCTAAGCTTTGTAAATGATGTTTGAGAATGAAGGGATGTTAACGTCCACCTTTCTAAGTGATCAGTGATAATACAACAAATTCCTGGAGCGGTTTGTCTTCATGCGTATCCTGAAGAATAAACGAAAGAACATGTTTAATACTTGAGAGATTTGTAGAAGCCAAAGACTATTTTGTTGGGTTTATGATAGTAAAGTCAGGACTCACAGGATGATTTTTAGTCACGTTTTGCATGAAATGTCCGATTTAGGGCTAGATCAGCAGTAACTGAATAATGTTCAAGTGAGACCATTAGATTGAATTAAATGAGTTCAAGTGTAAGCAAGTTATAATTGTGCTTGTTATTTATATCAGAAATGTCACGCAGTTGCCAGGAGTTGTACCCTAAATTTATAAGCAGACTGGTTGACTAGGGCACCTGAAGTACAGAATGCCAAGGATGAGTTCTTGGCTTGTCATTCACCAGCCACTCCTTGGACAGCTGACAGATTACTTAACCCCGCTATATTTCAGTTTTTTCTGTAAAATTAGGATAATAAAAAGACTTTCTGGAGCTGTTAGGATTAAGGGAGAAAATTTACATAGAAAGTACTTGGCACAGGGCCTAGTATATGTTTTATGTTAGCTGTTAAAACTTAGCAGTATGTTAAAAACAGGTCGATCAGGTAGACCAATTCAAAGAAACATTCAACAGGACTGCAGTATTTTGTACAAACAAAAACTTTAACATGATGTTCAGTTTAATGATAAAATTATCATAAAATCTGAGTAGAGAATATGAATGTTTATTGCAAACTCTATGGACTGAATTTTAAAAAGCAAACTTTTTAGACTGCATTTAAGAGTTTTTTTGTTTATCTTCCTTTTGTGTGTTATATGTGCAGCATGGCAATTATTTACGGGGTGTTCTCAGCCTCAAATTTGATCACTCCATCGGTGGTTGCCATTGTAGGACCTCAACTCTCTATGTTTGTCAGTGGTTTATTTTACAGGTAAGTAAGACAGTCTTGTTTTTGCTCATTTAATTAGAATGCTTTCAGCATCTTTCAAGCACATAGTAAACTTTAAACGAGAGCTTGAAGACTTGAATTGGATAAAATATAGTTGGTATTTTTAAGATTTGTTCTCTACTTGTTGCTCAGGGATACCATATCATTATATCTGCTTTTGTTTTGATGTTAATAAAAGTAGTATCCGAAATTGCTTTCTATGAAGGTAGAAGGAACTTCCCATGAAACACTCTTATCTTCTATCAGGTTGACTAATGGGCTCGTCATGTGCTAAGCTTATTGGTAAAGGCCACTGGAAACTTGTAAAATGCCTGGTTTACAAATTTGAAATAGTAAATAAGTGAATGGAGCAATTTGTTCCTTTTTTCAAACCCAGAGAGGTGCTTTACAGGTTGAATTTTAAAAGAGAACCTTCAAAATTGATTCCTAGAAGGCATAAGGGCATTCTGTTTCAGATATTGTTTGACTATAATACGTTGACCTGTTATATTTTAGCATGTACATTGCCGTTTTTATCCAGCCTTTCACATGGTCCTTCTACACAGCTTCTGTTTTCATTGGAATTGCAGCTGCTGGTAAGCAATTTGATTTTCATCTTTTCTGTGTTTGTTTTGTTTTGTGGGGCCAAGCTAAGGGTATTCTTTATGTATTTAGTTTGTGAAGCTAAGTGATTTCATTCATTTGATAAACTTTTCATTTGGATTTTAGTACTTTGGACAGCACAAGGAAACTGCCTGACAATAAATTCAGATGAGCATACTATTGGGAGAAACAGTGGAATTTTCTGGGCACTCTTACAATCTAGGTAATAAACGTTTTGGAGATCAATATATTTTTGTTGTTATTGTTTGTCATAACACTTTTTAGGTCTAGATTGTTTTGAAAATTTGGGTCTTCCATGTTAATATGTTTTTTTTTTCCTTCGGAGATTTTTGCTATAGGGTGCATGTGCTCACTGGAGACACACAGAGAGACAGACAGCAGGAAATCACTCCCCCCACAGGGGGATGGCCATGCTGCTCCCCCCACAGGGGGATGGCCATGCTGCAATCTCTTCTCCATTCTCCTCTCAGATTTTGGGCATACACGCACACGCACTCAGCGTGAGTTTTAAGTCGCTGGGTCCAGGACTCAATCCATGGCAGACTACATGGGAGTTCAGTTCAGTCACGTAACCATTACACCATCTGCTGGTCCCATGTTAATATGATTTTAATTTATTTTTTCTTTTTTAGAGGTTTTTGCTATAGGGCGTGTGCGCTTGCCAGACAGACAGAAAGAGACAGAGAGACAGAAAGCAAAAAATCACCCCCCAGGGGGGATGGCCATGCCACAATCCCTTCTCCTCCATTCTTCTCTCCAGGATCTTGGGCATGCACGCACATGCGCCTGGCGTGAGTTTTAAGCCACTAGGTCTGGGACATGAACCGCGGTCGACTACATGGGAGTCCAGCGACATAGTCATTATGCTAACTGCTGGTCCCTATATGATTTTAATTTCTTGCTGAATATGATAGGGAGTTAAAATTTTATTGAATTACTCAAAATGCATAGAACTAACCTCGCTGGGATTTAGGATTGATAAACAGAAAATAATATTAGTATCCACATATGTGGCATCTGCTATATTTCAGAGACTGTTGGGTTCTTAATTTCACATCACTTCATTTCCATACAGCAGATGAGAAAACAGATTTAAAAGTTAAGTAATTTATCCAGTGTACATTATCATTTGTCCTCCAAAAGCCATATCCTTTGCAATGAACTGTGTTGTGACAGCCAGTAACAAGTATACTAAAATGGGAAAGTGAGGGCAGTCCCCTGCCTTAATAGTTTAGGGAACTTGATCCCACAAGACCAATTTCACGGTTTGAATCCTAGCACTGGAGTCTTGTAAAACATACTGGGTGTTCGTGTATGTCCCAACTCCTGACTAGATGGAGAAATGGAAGAAAAGGGATTGTGATGTGACCATGCTCCATTGGAAGGTGCTTTCTCCCCAGTTCTCTATGTCTCTGTCTGTCTCTGATGTGCTCATGTACCCTCTGACCAAAAAAAAAAAGCAAATCAACAGTGACTAATTATACCATTTATGAACAATATAGCATATTACATGTTTCTTAAGAAAAATCAAGGTAAAAGCAGATGACACAGCAGTTATGTTGCTGGACTCCCAGTCCACCCTGGTTCAAGTCCTGTACCCAACAACTTAAAACTCATGCTGGGCACATGCACGTGCGTGCCCAAAATCCTGAGAGGAAAATGGAGAAGGGGTTGCGGTGTGGCCATCTCCCCTGGGGGATGATTTCTCGCTTTCTCTCTGTTTCTCCAGTGAGCACATGCACCCTATAGCAAAAATCTTTCTTAAAACCAAAAAAAAAATCAAAATAGTCATTTTGCCCATGACTGTTGGATTTCCGGAACCTGTCCTGAAGATTACCCTAATGGATCTTGTCTAAAATTTTTCACCTTGATAAAACTTAGCAAATGCAAATGTTTCTTTGGAGGGATTGTATACATCGTAAGAAGTAGTAGTATACATTGACGATAATATATATGGTGATATCTTTGACATGACTAATAAATACTTTATTCATGCTGAAAAAAAATCATATTGTACACCGTAAAGATGTACAGTGATGGGACCAGCAGATGGTGTAATGGTTATATTGCTGGACTCCCGCATGGCCAACTGTGCCTCAAGTCCCTGACCCGGTGGTTTCAAACTCACATCGGGCACATGTGTGGGTGCCCAAAATTCTGAGAGGAGAATGAAGAAGAAGGGATTGTGGCATGGCCACACACACCCCCGGGGGGATGTGTGGGTGCCCAAAATTCTGAGAGGAGAATGAAGAAGAAGGGATTGTGGCATGGCCACACACACCCCCGGGGGGGGAGTGATTTCTCATTTCTCACTTTCTTTCTCTTTCTCTCTTGTCTCTCCAGTGAGAGCACACACCCTATAGCAAAAATCTCTCTAAAAAGAAAAAAAAGATGTACAGTGATTAAATGTAAATTTTAAATATGTTTTAAAAAAGAAAGAAAGAAATAGTAGTATAGATGAGTGATTCCTTTCCTAGGAAGTATTTGATTCATGCATAGAATTACGTCATTAATTGTTCTTCCATAGGTTCTTCAAAATACAAGATTTTAAAAGTAGCGTAAGCTTGTTTCCAAGGAGTTATTTTTCAGTTGCAGTAAATCACATGTTTCAAAGTGAGTCAGGTCTTCTCTGAAGGTTGGCCCTGAATCAGGTCACTGTCACATGGAAGGAGGCTGGATTCCATCTGGGTCAGTTAAGTTTCTCTGAGTCAGGGTGAAGTTGATACTTTAAATGACCGAGGCAGGTCAGAACTTTAAAAGCGATGTAGGTATGTGCTTTTTTTTCTCTCTCTAGTGCTCTTTCTTTTTTCTCAATGAACAGTAGGATTAATTATTTCTAAAAAAAAAAAAAAAAGCTATTAAAATAATTTCCTAATTTTCTGTCCTTCCTTTTCTTCCCCCAGTTTGTTTTTTGGAAATCTCTACATATATTTTGCCTGGCAAGGGAAAACTCAAATATCAGGTTTGTTTTATTCACTTTGTTTTATTCCGATATGTGCAAAACATAATAGCAGTCACATAGAAATACCTATTATTGGTTTGCTTAAACATCATTCTAGTGAACTTTGGTACCTCAAGTCCTATCAGTTTTCAATTTTTAATAAGCTTTTTCCTTGGATGATATTTTGAAGCTAGGTTTGTAGTTTATGACTGCTTCATGTGGTATTTCAAGATGAGAGAGAAGGATATGCTACAGAGAAGCTCACGGGTTAGTCATCAGAAGACTTGAACGCACAGTTGTCCATACGTTTCTTTGACGAAAAGAGTGTAGTTACGTTCCCTAACTGAAAGACAAAGGTGGTGGTGTCCCTTTTATCTTCTTATCCTAAGTTTTTACTGATGTGTTAAAGTCCAGTGAAGAGTGTTTTGATGGTTAGAAACAAGCCTAGAGAGAATCCTGATTTTGGAATTGCTTGGTCCATGCCATCTACTTTCTTCTCCTTCTCTTTTCTCCCTAGAGAGCGACCGAAGGACAGTGTTCATTGCCCTTACAGTGATTAGCCTTGTGGGGACAGTTCTGCTCTTTCTCATTCGGAAACCAGAGTCTGAGAATGTCCTGGGAGAAGATGAATCTTCTGATGACCAGGACCTGGAAGTCAACGAGTGAGAAATTGAAAACATGCCTTTTTATTTTAAATCGACTTTGAGTACATCTAGCATAGAGATGTCCAACCTGTTCAGGCTTAACCAATACCCGTGACTCTGTAGGCTCAGGCAGATGTGAGGGAAATGTTTCTGAGCAAGTAAGGGGAAGGGGACCTGTGAGGGAGGGAGAGAAAGGTGTGCAGGATGTTAAAGGCTGCTCCCAGCTTTGCTGCTGACACAGGCGTGACCCTGGACAGGAGCAGTGATCTCCTTCACGTCTGTCCCTAGACTTCAGTTTCCTCATTCACCTCAGCGACACACCTCCCTTGTGTGTTCATGTGTGAGGACATGGCTGGCGAAGTGAAATGGGGACAAGGTAGACTGTCTTTGTCCTCGTTTACTGTTCTGTGACCTGACTCTAAAGTGTTCGATTCCAGTGGAAGGAGCGGGTGGCAGGGCCGTCAGCAGTGTGACCACCAGGCTCTTGCTTCACGCACGTGGTTTTCCCCGAGGCAGTCCAGGTGGAGAAACTGTAGCCCTGTGTGTTTGTAAAAATTGAATATCACCTGAGCACAGTTTGATTAGAAAGGACTCCATTTAAAATACCCCGCCCCTTTGTCTGTCACCTAGATCTGAGGAGGGAACTGAGATAGCAGTCTTTGCTGTCTTCACCTTGCCTTGCTTGGGAATTGATAAGTCGCGAAGATGGCCTTTTGGCATCATGTCTGTTGCTAAAACGTTTGTGTAGAGCATTCTGTGCTGCCTTTATATTCCAAAATGGGACCTACCATTCTCTAGTCATAGGATCATTAAATGTTCAAAATGCAAACTAAGTTTGTTTAAAGCAAAAGAGAGATGGTACTGTAGTTTGGATATGGAAACATATATGTATGTTATATGTGTATGTACATATACATGTTAGCATATATCTGCATGTGTATTTTTAGACACAAACCAATAGATTTTGGAGAGGGGTCTGCGAGGATGAATCTCTCAAACTGGACAACAGTTAACACCTGGGCTGCTCTGTGGTCTGGTGGGTAAGGCAACCAGGTCCCACATGGCCAGCTACTTGGTTTGAACCCTGGACCTGGTGGCTTCAGAAACACACAGGGCACATGTTCACATGTGCCCAAAGTCCCAGAAGGAGGAAGAGATGGAAGAGAAGGAATTGTGATGTGACCATGCCCTGTGGGGAGAGCTTTCTCTGCCCCTCCCTCTGTCTCTCTGGCCAGTGCGCGTGCCCTCTGCCACTCATTCACTCAGCATACTGTTGGGGGGGAAGACACACACTCCCCCTGCTTTCCAGGCACTTGGCTGCCGAGTGGAGATAGATGAGGCCTGGTGACCAAGGTAAGGTGTGGTGTTTAGGAATATTGCTCAGCCCCTTGAGCATTCTCTCCCTCTGAGTCGTCCCCCACACATGGCGCTTCTGTATTTCTGTTCTCCAAATAGCACCAACTTGTGCCAACCTATTTCTAGACCCAAGCAATACAGCAGTGAACAGCACAGAGCAGCCCCTATCTTTGTGGGGTGTATATAGGGGGTGGCAGATAGCACACATACAAGAAAATACCAAAATAAGTGTTACAGGGCCAGCTGGTGGCGTGCAGGTTAAGGTGGCTAGATCCCACATAGCCAGCTCCACAGTTCAAGCCCAGGCCAGCAGCTTGACAATCACACCAAGTGCATGTGCTTGTATGCTCATAATCCCAAGAGGAGAATGGAGAAGGAATTAAGGCATAGCCATCCCCCTGGGGGGTGATTTTTTCATGTTCCCTCTCTGTGTCTCTGTCTGTCTCCTGTGGGCATGCATGCCCTATGGCAAAACCCCAAGATAATAATAAATGTTAGGAAAACGGTGAAAGAAGGGAGGTGCTGGAGAGCTGAGTGGCTCCCTGGTCGTGCCTGATGAGGAGTGAGATCAGTGGATGGCCGTTGCCAAGGCCAGTTCAAGGAAAGCAGCATGGTGTGGGAGTGGAAGCAGAGGTGTCTAGAGTAAGCAAGGATTAGGTTATGTAAGGCTTGGTAAGGAGTTTGCGTTTGGTTCTTGTATTAGAAGCTATTGAGGGTACAAGTAGGATCTGATTTTAAAGGAACCACTTAAAGGGCTTACAGAAAATGATGTCAAGATGCAAAAAAGGCAGCTCAGTATTAGTCTTCTCTGTCAAGTGTTTGATTTAATTTCTGAAGACTTGTCAGGTTGTCTCTAGGCATTTCTTCAGTGCCAGGTGCCTCTGTGCTCTCCACTCCTTTTCTTTCTTTTTTTTTTTTTTAAATTTTATTTATTATTGTTCATTTGTTTAGGGCACATGTCGTCACAAGAGACAGACAGTGAAGAGAGAGAGGGAAAGTGAGAAAGCCAACTACCAGGTCTGGGACCCCAAGTGCTGTCAGCCATGTGGGAGTCCAGTGCCTTAACCACCACGCCACCTGCTGGCCCAACTAGATGCAATTTTTTTTTATTTTGGAGAGGTTTTTGCTATAGGTTGCATGTGCTCACCAGAAAGAGAGAGAGAGAGAGAGAGAGAGAGAGACAGAAAGTGAGAAATCGCCCTGCAGGGGGGATGGCCACGCCACAATCTCTTCTCCTCCATTCTCCTCTCGGGATCTTGGGCACGTACACACATGCACCCAGCATGAGTCCAGCATGAATTTTAAGCCACCAGGTCCGGGATGCGAACTGTGGTCTACTACGTGGGAGTCCAGTGACATAGCCAGTATGCTAACTGCTGGTCCCCCTTCTTTTTTTTTTTTTTTTATAGAGATTTTCTCTATAGGGTGCGTGCACTTGATGGAGAGACAGAGAGACAAAGTGAGAAATCACCTCTCAGGGGAGATGGCCACGCCATAGTCCCTTCTCTATTCTCCTCTTGGGATTTTTTGGGCACGCACACACACACACACTCGTGGCATGAGTTTCTTTTTTTTTTTTTTTAGAGAGGTTTTTGCTATAGGGCGCGTGCGCTCGCCAGATAGACAGAGAGACATAGAGACAGAAAGCGAGAAATCACCCCCCAGAGGGGATGGCCACGCCGCAATCCCTTCTCCTCCATTCTCCTCTTGGGATCTTGGGCGGGCACGCACGCACATGTGCCCGGTGTGAGCTTAAGCCACTGGGTCCAGGACGCGAACCGCGGTCGACTATGTGGGAGTCCAGCGACATAGCCATTGTGCTAACTGCTGGTTCCCCCTGGCATGAGTTTCAAGCAGCTTTCGGGTCTGGAACTCGAACCGTGGTCCAGTACATGGGAGTCCAACCATGTAACCATTACACCATCTGCTGGTCTCTCCCCCTTCCTTTTCTGTTTATCCGTGTCCTTCCTTCCTTTGAATTGGACTGTCTCAGATGTGTTGGGCATGGCTTGGAGGATAACGTGTTGAACACCACAGATAGAAGTTGGTTTCATGGAACTTATTCTCCAGTGGGGAACAAAAGAAAAGAAAGAAGAAAAAAATTTAACAGCTTTATTGAGATATAACCATGTAATTCACCTACTTCACGTGTACAGTTCAATGGATTTTTAGTATATTTGTAGAGTTGTACATCCACCATCAAAGCCAATTTTAGAATATTTTTGTTACCCCAATAAGGAACCCTGTACCCCTTAGCCATCTGGTATGTATGTATTTATGTGTATTCATTCATTCACTCAAGTTTTTGACATAGGATGTGTGTACTTGCCAGAAAAAGAGAGACAGAAAGACACAAGGAGAGAGAAAGTGAGAACCCACCCCCCAGGGGGGATGGCCGTGCTGCAGTCCCCTCTCCGTTGTCCTCCTGGGATCTTGGGCACACACATGTAGCCGTCGTGATTTTCAAGCCACCGGGTCTGGGATTCAAACCATACTCAACCACGTGGGAGTCCAGCTCCTTAACAACTATGCCACCTGCTGGTCCCAGCTGTCTGGTATTTAAACAGGAGAAATACAAAGCAGAGACGTGTTTTGGAAGTATGGACTGGGGGTTATGGGGAAGGTTTGCGATTACAGCGTTGCCAGGGAAGGCTGAGAAGGTTTCAGACCTGAAAGAGGTGAGCTCGTCGTAGCTTTAACTGGAGGCGGGAAGTCATCAGAGGTTTGAGAGGATCGATAATGATCTATTAAACCCTCCGCTCTCACATGGCACACGTGGGGCTACCCTGTGTTAGAATTGTACTGAAATGGCTCCCTTTAATAGCTCACTGGATTCAGTCAGAAGTGAAGTGCAGCTGAGTGGAGTTATTTAGTAGTATGGAGAGTGTCCGTCAGTTCTTACTTATTTGGGGCCTGAAGTAGGAGACACTGGAATCTTGCCCAAGTACAAGGCGAGTGCACTGCCGGTCACTGGAGGCTGCCCAGGGCAGGCGGGAGTTTCATGGTGAGGGAGAGTTTTCTTCTGGTTGGAACATGCTACCTTTTTTATGTTGGTAGTTTTCTTTCTTGCGGTTCATTTTATTTCTTTTCTTTTTTTTTTTTTCCTTTCTTGCTTTTTTTTTTGGCCAGAGGGCATGTGTGCTTAGAGAGAGAGAGGAAGAGGAGAAAGCCTCCCAGCAGTAGGGCGCGGTCATGCCACAGCCCTTATTTCCCCATCCTGTTAGGATATGGGGGACACGTGGGCACACACTTGGTATGTCTGTCTGTCTGTCTGTCTGTCTTCTTTTTTTAAAAGAATTATTCCATTTAACTTTATTTATTTATTTATTTTAATTTGACCAGAGAGGGAGAGAGTGGGGAAGTGAGAAAGCAGGCTGTCAGGTCCAGGACTAGAACTGTAGTTGGCCATGTGGGAATTCAGTGCCCTTAACCACCGTGGCCCCAGTTGGCCCCAACTTGGTGTGTTTTTCAAAATGTCAGAGTCAGGATTCAAACCGTGTGGTTGACCATACGGGATCCCGCTTCCTTAACCACAAGGCCACTGGGCTAACTCCAATAGCTTCTTTTTGTTTGCTTGTTCTCTATAGGTTGTGTGCCTGACAGAGAAAGAGATAGAGCGGGGGAAAGTGAGAATCTCCACCACCACCACCCCTGCAGAGGGGGTAGCCATCCACAATCTCCTCTCTATTCTCCACTCGAGATTTCAGGCATGCACACACCACACACACGTGTATTTTTCAAGCTGCTGGGTCTGGGACTTGAACTGACATTTGACCATGTGGGATCCAGCCACCTTAACATCCATGCCACTTACTGTACCTTATTTTTATTTTCTTCAGTCAACTCATCTCTAGGTTTTTAATTTCTTTTCTCTCTCTCTCTCTTTTTTTTCTTTTTTGCTAGAGGCATTAGAGAGAGAGAAAGAGGGGGAAAGAGAGGGCACCCCTCTTGGGGAATAGTCACACTACAGTGCTTCCTCCCGTCTCTCCCTCCTTTCAGGATGTTTGGGCATGCCTGTGCACTCATACCTGCCAAGCCTCCAGGTCTGGTATTTGAACAGCACCCTCAGTCATGTGAGATCCGGGTCATGGGGCTGGCTTTCTCTCTCTCCTTTCTTTTATTTTTATTTTTGTTTTATATAAATACCATCTTTTAATGATATAGGAGAAGTCACTTGACTGGTAGGGTAAGAAATGACGTAGTGTAAAACTTTCTCACTGTAATTAACAATTACATTTATGTTACATTGTCTGATTTAATTTCTGCAGGCAAGTGGTAGTGTCCCTGTTTTACAAATGAGGAAGTGAACTTAGAGAATTGAAGTAACTTGTCTGAAATCACATGACTAATACGTGGCAAAGCCAGGACTGTCACCTGAGCCTATATTTTTAACCAATGTACTGTTCTTTATCTCAACCACGTCACTGACAGGGCTTTAATGCTTTAGGAGAGGTTTAATCCTGAAGAACTCACTTTTTACGTAATGCATTTGGTGGATATCCAGTATGCATAGAGTTTTTTTTTTTTTTCTTTAAGAATCATTTAATTTTGTTAATTATTACTACTTTTAGAAATTTGCTTATAAAGCACATGCACTCACCAGAGAGAGACAAAGAAAGTGAGCACACAAGCTGCCAGGTCTGGAGCTTGAACCCCAGTTGGCCATGTGGCAGTCCAGTGCCTTAACTACCACACTACCTGCTGGCCCCCTCACAGGGTACTTTTCACAGTTTGATATAGCAGGCCAGAGGTCTATCTGCCCTGCCTGAAGTTTTGTTTGTGAAAGAGACATGCATGAGAGTGGATGCGTGCACTGATTTAACGCAGGGGAGTGGCCTTCCGCGAGTACGAATCGAGAGGCTCCGGGTGGCCCGTAAACATGTGTACTGAAGTAAGGGTGCCTTGGTGCGCAGAGCACCGAGGGCCATGGGAAGTACTTGCCAGACCTTGTAGAGAGTAGAGCTTACCAACTGAAATGAAAACGTCATGGTGCTTTTGTCCTCTTTTTAATTTTAAAGAGAAAAAAACTTTAAAAAATTTTATTTTCTCAGGTCTGCCCAGAACAATATGACAAAGGCAGTAGATGCGTTTAGTAAGTATTTTCTGTAACTGAAATGCAAGAACTGTTCAGGAACAACTCCAGCATTTGCCTTTCCCCTTTTCCCTGGTAACTTTGGATTGACGATACCCCAGTGTGTTCGTTTTCCCAGGTATGCTGCTCTGAAAATATCTCATGACATGGGGGCATGAGGGATGGACGGTGACACGGGCCACCCAGCTGAGCGGCTGTGAAGGGAGTGGGAGGAGGCTGCAGAGCGGAGCTGGAGTCTGCTGGGGACCCCCGGAGTGTAAGAGCAGGTTGTTGTCACTCTGTCTCTCCTCAGAGCAGAGCAGAACCAGTCACCAAATTGCTCTCCTGTGCAGAGAACCCTTCCTGGCCCAGGACTCTGCTTCCCCTCGTGTGTTTTATCTTACTTAACTCTTAAGATTCTGAGTATCCTTTAACACACACGTATCATTTTGTGGGAGATAAATTATACAGACGAGAAAGCAGGCTTGAGAAATTAAATAATTTACATCAAGTCAGCCAGCTCGTAGGTGACTGAGCTGGAATTTGAGTCGTAGCTGCCTGACAGGCAGAGCCAGCAGCTGTTATAGAGGGTGGCGATGGTTCCTTCAGGACCCAGTACCTGAGGCCTCAGACTCCAGTGAGTCACACTGGCTTCTGCTTCTGGCCGCCTCAGCTTCTCTGTCTCCCCAGCAGAGGGTCTGGTCGAGGCAATTACTTCCAACAGGGAGCAGCCCATGGTGCCACGTCCTTTCAGCAAGCCCGAGCCCATCACAGTCCACTGGGCCTGAGAAAGGACAAGAATTGTGGCCAAGATGTAACTACCTAGTGAACGGTTCCCCACTCCAGGAAGAATCCCATACTCATTAGCAGTCACTTCCCACCCCCGCCCCTACCTCCTGGAACCTGCTCCTGACCCCCAGGCTTTTTGGTTGTGTTGTACTTATTTGGACATTTCATATCAACCAAATCATCCATCTAATGTGTGAGCTTTCACGACTTTTTTTTTTTTTAGCAATGTTTCAAGGCTTATCTATATTATAGAATGTTACAAAATTTGACTATGAGTTTAGGTATTATGAATAATGGTATGCAAGGTTATTTTTGTTTTATTTTGCTGTAGGGCATGTGCACTTGATGGAGACTGAAAAGATGGAAAGTGAGAAGTCACTCCCAGGGGGATGGCCACATTGTAATCCCTTCTCTTACATTCTTTTCTCGAAATTTTGGGCATACACATACATATACCTCGTGTGATTTTTTTTTTTTCAAGAATTATTTTTTAAATTCCATCTGTTGTTGTTATTATTATTAATTTGACCAGAGAGAGACAGAGGAAAGTGAGAAAGCATGTCACCAGGTCAAGGACTCAAACTGTGTTCAGCCATGTAGGAGTCCAGTGCTTCAACAGCCATGCCACCTGCTAGTCCCCCGGCATGAGTTTTAAGTTGCCAGGTCTAGGACTTGAACCACGGTTGACTACTTGGGAGTCCAGCTACATAACCATTACACCATCTACTGGTGCCTTTAATTCCATTTTTCTGCAAGCTTTTTGAGGTCTCCTTGTATACACAGAGTGATATATACTGGGTTATATAGTATCTCAACTTTTTGAAGACCGCCAGATTCTTTTTTTTTTTTTTAAAGGTTTTTGCTATAGGGCGTGTGCACTCACCATAAAGACAGGGAGAGAGAGAGACAGAAATCAAGAAATCACCCCCCAGGGGGGATTGTCACACCATAATCCCTTCTCCATTTTCTTGGGATCTTGGGCACTCATGCATGCATGCCCGGCGTGGTCCTAAGACCTCCAGATTCTTACACCATTTTATATTCCTGCCAGCAGAATCCAAGAGACAGAAATCAAGAAATCAACCCCTAGGTCCCTAGGGGGAATGGCCATGCCACAGTCCCTTCTCCATTCTCCTCTCAGGATTTTGGGCATGCATGCATGCCCCGCGGGGCTTTTTTTTTTTTTTTTTTTAGAGGTTTATGCTATAGGGCCTGTGCGCCCGCCAGACAGACAGAGAGATAGAAAGCAAGAAATCACCCCCCAGGCGGGATGGCCACGCCACAGTCTCTTCTCCTCCATTCTCCTCTAGGGATCTTGGGCACGCACACACACGTGCCTGGCGTGAGTTTAAGCCACTGGGTCTGGGACTTGAACCGCGGTTGACTATGTGGGAGTCCAGTGACATAGCCATTATGCTAACTGCTGGTCCCTAAACACAGATTTTATTTACGTTTCACATATAGCTTAACATTCATAGCCTGAAGGTATTTTATTTTATACAATATTTTTTATTACTGCATTTTAAAATTTATTTTTATTTTTATTTTTATTTTTTTTCTTTTTTTGGAGAGGTTTTTGCTATAGGGCGCGTGTGCTCGCCAGACAGAGAGAGACATAGAGACAGAAAGCGAGAAATCACCCCCCAGGGGGGATGGCCATGCCACAATCCCTTCTCCTCCACTCTCCTCTTGGGATCTTGGGCACACACGCACACACGCCTGACGTGAGTTTTAAGCCACCGGGTCCGGGACGTGAACCGTAGTCGACTACATGAGAGTCCAGCGACATAGCCGTTACACTAACTGCTGGTTCCCTTATTTTTATTTTTTTGAAGAATTATTTTATTTAACTTTATTCATTTATTTGATTTTAATTTGACCAGAGAGGGATAGAGAGAGAGAAAGCAAGCTGCCAGGTCCGGGACTCAGACGACAGCCAGCCATGTTGGAGTCCAGCACCCTTATCCACCACACCACCTGCCAGACCCTATTACAGCATTTTTGACTATGGTCTGTCACTTGAGGTCAAACATGGAATTTTTACATTGGTGTCATGTCAGTGCTTAAAACGTTTCTGATTTTGGAGCATTTCAGATTTCAGATTAGAGATGCTCAACCTGGAGCTCCTCAGGGAAGTTACCCTTTGCCAGTTGTTAACTCCCTGAATACTCTAGCCTTAAATCGTGTCTGTGGGAGTATTTTGTTGTTTTGTTTGATGATGATGATGATGATTTTTTTTTTAGAGAGATTTTTGCTATAGGGTAGGTGTGTTCACTGGAAAGACAAAGACAGACAGAAAGCAAGAAATCACCAGCCGGGGGATTGCCACGCCACAGTCCCGTCTCCATGCTCTTCTCAGGATCTTGGGCATGCGCACACACATGCCTGGTGCAAGTTTCAAGTTGCCGGGTCTGGGAATCAAACCATGGTCGACTACGTGGGAGTCCAGCAATATAACCATCATATCATCTGCTGACCCCCTATTACTTTTATTTTTTAAAGAATAATTTAATTTTATTTACTTTCTTTTCTTTAGAGAGAGAAATTTTTGCTATAGAGCATATGCGCTTGCTGGAGAGACAGAAAGCAAGAAATCACTCCCTAGAGGGGGTGGCCACACTGCAGTCCCTTCTCCTCCATACTCCTTTTAGAGTTTTGGGAAAGCACATACATGTGCCCAGTGTGAGTTTAAACCGCCGGTCCCAGACTTGAACCACAGTTGACTATGTGGGAGTCCAGTGATGTAACCATTATGCCATCTGCTGGTCCCATCTTTTTGGTTTTTAAATTTGCTATAAGGTACATGCTAGAGAAAAGAGAGAAAGCATGCTGCCAGGTCTGGGTCTTGAACTATGGTCTGCCATCTGGGCGTCTAGTGCCCTAACCATCATGCCATCTACTGGCCCCTCATTTGATTACTTTTTATAATTTATTCATTTCTTCCATGAGAGGGGCAGGGGGCGGGGAGGCATTCACACAGCAGGGTCTTAATGCCTCGCTCACTCCCAACCTCAGGCAGCTCGAGTTGCAGCATGCGCGTGTGCTTGCTGTGTACAGGGAGACCTTGGGACACGGACCTACGACCTCGCCATGGGGTCCAGCACTACAGGATGTGATGTTGTTGCTTTGCCACTGGCCCTGGATTCTACTTTTATCTCGTCCTCTTTATATTGTTTTTGATATAAGACCTGAAAATGTGTTGGAAAAAAAAATGCAACTGTAGAATATATTTAAGCACTTGAAATAAGCATTTTATCTATCAGCATTTGAATCTCAATCATATGTCAGCAAATTGCTTGTTACCATTATTGGTAAGGGGTGTTTTGGTTAAAAGAATGTTTTAGAACATTTGTTTGGTAAGTTAATGATCTAGTTAAGTACCTCCTCTTTTTTTCTTTTTCACAGAAAAGTCTCTGAAATTGTGTGTCACCAAGGAGATGCTCCTCCTCAGTGTTACAACTGCTTACACAGGTAATGGGATTACTGCTTTGGGATTCTGTTCTGCATAATGACAGACTGAAAACAGTACCCTTGTTCTTTCTCTTAGTTCTGTGCACCGACCAGGCTCAGCTGGGTTCTTCGCTATCACTCGAGGTTTCCTGTGGGTGCTACCAGAGGGTGGCTGGGGCTGAGATTTCCAGGGTGGTCTCATTCACATTGTCTGGAGCGTTGGCAAGATTAGATGGAGGCTGGGACTCTCTGCATGTAGTCTCAGGGTCTGCCTGTTTGCATGAGCCCCTGCACGAACTCTCCTGAGACCACAGAACAACCATTCTTAGTGTACTGCTAAGTGCAGGACTAGCGGATGGCATAATGGTTAATTGCTGAACTCTCATGTAGTCAACCATGGTTCAAATCATGGACATGGTATGGTGGCTTAAAACTCATGTCGGGCACATGTGCGTGCATGCCTAAAATCCCAGGAAGAGAAGGGATTGTGGTGTGGCCACCCCCCCCCGGGGGGGCAAGGGGGGTTACTCGCTTTCTGTCCTTTCTGTCTCCCTGTCTCACTGGCCAGTACGTGTGCCCTCTAGTAAAACTTTCTCTCTTTTTTTTTTTTATATTTTTTTTCTACTTTCTCTCTTTTTTTTTTTAATATATTTTTATTTAATTTTATTTATTCATTCATTTTAACTTGACGAGAGAGAAAGTGAGAAAGCAAGCCACCAGGTCCCAATCTCGAACCGTGGTCAGCCATGTGGGAATGTCTAGCACCCTAACCACAACACCACCTGCTAGTCCCCATAGCAAAACTTTCTCTTAAAAAACAATAGCTAAGGGAACCAGCAGTTAGCGTAATGGCTATGTCGCTGGACTCCCACGTAGTCGACCGCGGTTCGTGTCCTGGACCCAGTGGCTTAAAACTCACTCCGGGCGCGTGTGCATGCGTGCCCAAGATCCCGAGAGGAGAATGGAGGAGAAGGGATTGCGGCGTGACCATCCCCCCTGGGGGGTGATTTCTCGCTTTCTGTCTCTATGTCTCTCTCTGTCTGTCTGGCGAGCGCACGCGCCCTACAGTGAAAATCTCTCCAAAAAAAAAAAAACAGTAGCTACATGCTCCAGGTGTAGAGCAAAAGGAAAAACTACCAGATCTTATGGGGCCTGGGCTAGCTCAGCCTCCCTTCTCTTGCGTTCTGTTGGTGACGGCAAATACCTGGGCCAGCCCTTGTGGGAGGATTCTACATGAGGTCAGGAAAGCCAGGGTGTACAGCGCATCAAAGCCAGTGATCTTAGGGCCACAGGAGAAACTGTGGAAAACACCCATGGTGAATCTCTGTAGCAGTATAGGGATTAAGGTAACTGGTGAAATAGAACCCGGTCATTATGTGATGTGCTGACAGTCCAAGTGCTCTTAGACCTGAAGGATGATGAAGAAATTCATTTCCTTTTTAAAAAAATGCTGCTATGGGCCAATTATGACTTTGCCTTCATAGGCCCAAAAAATCTCCTTTTTAGAAGAAACAGAATAAGGGACCAACAGTTAGCGTAATGACTATGTCACTGGACTCCGGGACCCAGTGGCTTAAACTCACTCTGGGCGCATTTGCGCCCAAGATCCCAAGAGAAGAGTGGAGGAGAAGGGATTGCGGCATGGCCATTCCCCTGGGGGGTGATTTCTCACTTTCTGTTTCTCTGTCTGTCTCTCTTTCTGGTGAGTGCACGTGCCCTATAGTAAAAATCTCTCAAAAAAAGAAAAAAAGAAGAAGAAACAGAAGAAACATTATGCACCTTTAAAATTCACTGTTAAAGTTTTTTTTTGTCTTGTTTTGTTTGAAGAGGTTTTTGCCTTATGGCGTGTACCCTCACTTTCGAGAGAGACAGGGAAAATGAGAAATCTCCCCCTAGGGGATAGTCATGCCATAATCCCTCCTCTGTCCTCATGGGATCTTGGGCACGCACACACATGTGCCTGACATGAATTTCAAGCCACTGCTGGATCCAGGACTTGAACTGTAGTTGACCATGTGGGAGTCCAGTGACGTAACTGCTACAGCATCTGCTGGCCCCAACTGTTAAAGTTTTATAACATTAAGGAATCAAAGTCTTGTACTGATTTGCCCTAATTTTGGACTCTTAGGGATTGTCTTTTCATAGAAAAAATGATCTAAAACATTGTATCTTTAAGCAGCAGTGAATAGTATGGTTTTCCAGAACAGTAAGAATATAATCCAGTAGGCATAGGAATACTCCTGACCTCTGGAAAGCTGTGCCTCAGGAAACAAGCACATTAGCATTCGCTGTTAAAAATGTATGTTAGTTTTATCCTCTGCCCATCCCTGCCTGCACAGAGGGTCAAGTTGAACGTAAGAGTGACTTTTTTTGAGCTCTGTGTTTTTGTCTGAAGGACATGACAACTGCCACCTGTAGCGTTTTAGTCTGGGCTGCCGTAAGCCAGCTGGCTTACACCACCGACATTGCTTCTCCTCGTTTTGGAGCATGAAAGTCCTGGATCAGGGAGCCAGCACTGTGGGGTCCTGGGGAGGGCGCTCTCCTGGTGTGCAGATGTCCTCTTGCTGTGCCCTCACATGGCGCAGAGCAGACAGGAAGCAAGCTCCGTGGTGTCTCGTGAGGGCTCCACTCTGATGACCTAACTGCCTCCCAGCGGCTCATCTCCGGATACCACCATGTTTGGGAGGTTAGGGTTTCAGCCTACAGATTTGGGGGGATGTCAGCATCCATGCTATGGCGTGTAGCTCACTGTTCCGTAAGCTGTGTGGCGTGGAATTAGGTCCTGCTTGGGGAGTAACGTTTCAGTTTAAACAAATTTTGTTTCACGTGTTTCTTTTATATGTGTGTAGCTCAAATACTAATCTGATTCTTCTTAAGGTCTGGAATTGACTTTCTTCTCTGGTGTGTATGGAACCTGTATTGGTGCTATAAATAAATTTGGAACAGAAGAGAAAAGCCTCATTGGACTTTCTGGCATTTTCATTGGCATTGGAGAAATTTTAGGTTAGTATTTGCATTAAAAATACCAGTTTGTTATAGTAGAAATGTTAAGTGTCTATCAGCGGGTGACGTAATGGCTATGTCGCTGGACTCCCATGTAGTCGGCCGCAGTTCAAGTCCCAGACCCGGTGGCTTAAAACTCAACGCCAGGCGCGTGTGCATGCGTGCCCAAGATCCCGAGAGGAGACTGGAGGAGAAGGGATTGCAGCATGGCCATTCCTCTCGGGGGGGCGGCGGGGTCCTTGCCTTCTATCTCTGTCTCTCCAATAAGAGCATGTGCCTTATAGCAAAAGTCTCTCTCTCAAAAAAAAAAAAAAAAGAAAAAGAAATTTTATAAATATACTTTAACCTGGGGCCAGCAGGTGGTGTGGTGGTTGGTTAAAGCCTGGACTCCCACATGGCTAACCAGAGTTAAGAGTTCTAGACCTGGTGGCTTGCTTTCTCACTTTCCCCCTCTCTCTGTCTCTGGTGAGCACACATGTCCTATAGCAAGCTTAAAAATAATAACAATAATAAATGTACTTGAGCTCTCCTTGAATTTCCATTTTTTGTGCTTATTTTTATCCAATAAGTATGTCTTTGTTTTCTTATTATCACTGTTTTAAGATAATGATAAAATATTTGCCAAATAATTCATAGATTGAAATGGTAATTAAATATATAGTCTGTTCCAACTTTTCTTAAGTTACTTAGGGAGAATGTCTTGGAATCTCTGACTTTCTGGTTCTCTGATTCTTTGGCACCAAATGGGTGTCTAAGAATTCAGTCCTATCCAGACACTAACCACCTAGACTTACCATCACACTCAGGTTTAAGAGCTTGGTCCCACCACCTGCCTTCACTGCAGGCCACTGATTGGGCTAAGAGTTGGGAACTCCCTCAGTCTCGCCTTTCATGTTCAGTAATTGACTGCACAGAATTCAGAAATATGCTGCATTTGTTACAGTGAACCATAAAGGACACTGTGAGCAGCTAGATGAGGAGGAGGTACACAGGGCATGAGGGAAGGGCTCCAGGCAGGCACTTACATCCCTGTGCAGCTGGGGCGCACCGCCCTCCAGCTCGTGGCCGTGCTCCTTTCTCCAGGGAGTTCCCCCAACTCTGGAGGGCTTTTTATGGAGGTTTCATTCTGTAGGCATGATCAATTAAGTCATCTGCCATTGGTGATTGGACTCAATCTCCAGTCTCTCTCCTGTTCCTGAGGAGGAGGGAAGGGGCCTGAAAATTCCAACCTTTTAATTAAGGCTTGGTTTTCTTGGTATTCAGCCCCTATCCATCCCCCATCCTCAAGCCAAACCCCCTTCTTCCAAGAGATGTCTTACTGGCAAAAACTCTGATAGGGTTGAAAAAGGGCTCCTTACAAATACCCATTATATCTTCATGTATTTTTTCTGTCTCCAACTCTTTTTACTTTTTTTTTTTTAATATGTTTGCACTTCTTTCTTTCACGAGTGAGACCAACAGAGAGAGAGGGAGGGAGAGAGTGAGCAAGACGGAAACACACAGCATCCCTGGCAGGGTCAGGATGCCATGATCCACTCCCAGCCTCAGCCAGCCCCAAATCATGGGCAGGTGTGGGACATCAGTGGACTAGAGCTAGGAACCTCCCACTGTGGGAAGACCACTGTCCGGCCAGTCCTGGATCTCTTTACCTTCCATGTCTCTACTTAACTTTCTGAGTTAAGTACTGCTGCTGTGAACATTTGTGAGTTTTTGTGCTTTTTTTTTTTTTTTTAATTTATTCAGTTTGACCAGAGAAAGCCTAGAAAGAGATTGGATGAGTGAGAAAGCAGGCTGCCAGGTTCAGGACTCAAACCATGACTGGCCACGTGGGAGCCCAGCACCTTAACCACCCCACCACTTGCTGGTTCCTGTGCATGTATGTTTTTGTTTCTCTTGGGCATATAGTATACCTAAGAAAAGAACCGATAGGTTGCATGGTAAGAAATTCTACATTTGGTTGATTTTTCTCCTCATTATGGGCCCTGTTTTCCTGGTTCTTTGCGTGCCTACTGGTATTTTATTATGGATGGCAGCCATTGTGAACTTGACCTTGTTAGGTCCTGGATGTTTCTTATTCCTGTATCCTTAAGCTTTGTGTATAGATGCAGTTTATTTCATTAGGAACAGTATGATTCGTTCAGGTCTTGCTTTGAGGCTTTATTGGGCAGGACTGAAGCAATGCTCGGTCCAGGCTGATTGCTGCCTACTCCTGAGGGAAGACCGGTGCCCTGTGAGTGATGGGTTTTCCAGTCTGGCTGGTGGGACCAGACTCTGTTCCCAGCCCAGGGCAGGGCATAAACCACGGGTCCTCTTGGCTTGTTCTTTCTCTGCCCTCTGCTAATTTGTTCACATTCTGTGCTCCTCAGTGCTCAGCTGGAGACCCAAGGGTGTCTGCAGGTCTCTGACAGCGTTCCATGAAGCTCTCCTCTCTACTACCCTTGTCTCTGAGCCCTGGCCACCCTGGCAGCCCCAGACTGTCTTTTCAACTCAGGGTGGCTTGGCTTCCACTCTGCCACAGTTTGCATTTTGAAAAGAGCTGCCAAACTGTCTTCTAGAGGGGCGATGCCAGCAATGTCTGAGCGATGCCATGTTTCCGAGTCCTCACCAGCACTCAATGTTACCACCATTTTTATTTTAGCCAGTTCTAACAGATCTGCAGCAATAGTTCATGGTAGTTTTCAGGTTTATCTTCTAAATGGGAAATTTCTTTTTTTGGAGAGGTTTTCGCTATAGGGCGCGTGCGCTCGCCAGACAGAGATATAGAGACAGAAAGTGAGAAAATCACCCACCAGGGGGGATGGTCACACCGCAATCCCTTCTCCTCCATTCTCCTCCCGGGATCTTGGGCACGCACGGACACGCGCCCGGCGTGAGTTCTAAGCCACCGGGTCCAGGATGCAAACCGCGGTTGACTACGTGGGAGTCCAGCAACATAGCCATTACGCTAACTGCTGGTTCCCGGGAAATGTTGTTTTAGCCAATGTTTCCTCTTACTAATAACTGAATACCATGGACTGGTAATTTACAAAGAATAAAGGTTTATGCAGCTCACTGTTTTGGAGGCCCAAGCATCTGGTGAGTCTTCTTACTGATGAGGACTTCCTGCAGAGCCTTGAGATTGTGCAGAGTATCCCATGGTGAGAGGGAAAGAACGTGTGTCTGCTCTGGTCTCTTACAAAGCCACTGGGAGTCAAGAGTGGGGACACCACCCCAATGACCTTATCTAATCATAAGCACCTCCCAAAAGTCCCATTTCTTTTTTTTTTTTTTCACTTATTTTTAATTTTTACCAGACACACACACACACACAGACAAAGTGAGAAAGCAAGTCACGAGGTCTGGGACTTGAACCATGGTCAGTCATGTGTGAGTGTCCAGCACCTTAACCACCATGCTACTTGCTGGTCTTTCAAAGGTCCTGCCTCTTTTTTTTTTTTTTGGTTTTCGAAAGGTTTTTGCTATAGGGCCCATGTGCTTGCCAGAAAGACAGAGACAGACAGAAAGTGAGCAATCACCCCCCAGGGGGGATGGCCACAACGCAATCCCTTCTCACACCGCAATCCCTTCTCCTCCATTCTCCTCTTGTGATCTTGGGCATGCACACACACGCATCCAGCATGAGTTTAAGCCACCAGGCCTGAGACCCCACCCGTGGTCGACTACATGGGAATCCAGCAATATAGCCATTACGCTAACTGCTGGTCTCGTAGGCCCTGCCTCTTAAGACCATGCAGCGGGGCTGGCAGATGGCGTGGTAGTTAAGGGCACTGGACACCCATGTGGCTGACCGTAGTTTGAGTCCCGGACCTGGCGGCTTGCTTTCTCACTTTTCCTCTCTCTCTTGCTCTGTCCCTCTCTGGTCAAATTAAAATAATGATAATAAAGTTAAATAAAATCCTTAAAAAAAAAAAAGACCATAGTCAGATTAAGTTTTTGCCCTGTCAACACCATCACGATAGCAACGAAGTACAGCACACGAGTTTGGGGGGACACGTTGATCGTAGCGTATGTCGAGCAACTTCTCAGCACCTGTTTGCCCTCTGTGTATCCCTCTGGTAAAATACGTGTGCGTATGTTTGCCCATTTGCTAGGTGGATTTTTTTTTTAACTGTTAACTTTCACTTTTGATTTTTAGGTTTTCAGGTGTAGATTTCTTTAAAGGCAATGCCCCATAGTCTCCTGCCTTTCAGTTTTCTTGCTCTCGAGGCGTTCCGAATCGTGCTGTTGAACCGTTGTAAGCCTTTGTCGTTGCTTCCTTCCTCTGGAGGTAACTTTACGACGATTGCTTTTTGGTATGACACCTTAGCTCTTTTGGCTATGGTTACAATAGAAGCATAGCCGTGGTTTATAAATTGTGTCCTTTTTAAAACATTTCTGTTATAAGCTGTGGCTCAGAGGGGATAGGTTTGGGGGTATAGAAACGCCTAGAGAGGAAGGTAAGAATGCCATGGACAGACGTACAACTTGTTTGATACCTTATTCTTTGTCATAGTCGGTGGTTTGGTCGTTGTCATCGTCGCCTACAAGTGCCGAGGCCTTGGGTTTTTTGAAGATAGGAACATTTGAGAATGTCCATCCCTTGCCTCCTTGATAGTAACCGTCAGCAACGTTAGTAATGTGTCTGCCATTTTGATTTATAGGTGGAAGCCTCTTCGGCCTGCTGAGCAAGAATAATCGCTTTGGTAGAAATCCAGTTGTGTTGCTAGGTATTCTGATGCACTTTATCGCTTTCTACTTAATATTTCTCAACATGCCTGGAGACGCCCCCATCGCTCCTGTGGAGGGAACCGACAGCAGTGCTTACATCCAACCCAGGTGCGGTGAGGACGCTGGGCAGTACCGGGCGGCTCGCTCTTCACAGTGGAGCAGTCTATCCTCTTCAGAGTCTGCTGTCTTTATAAGGGCATCTGTCAAGTGCTGATAGAGTCAGAACGAGCAGACGTAGGAATCCGCAGAGAATCCCAAGTTATGTTTGTAATGGTTGGTTTTAACCTTCTCCCGTGTGAGATCTTTTTCCTCATCTGGAAAGACACAACTATCTGATTTGAATTTTATGCCTCTGCTTTTTGAATAGTGAAATATCCATGAGTCAGACAGATTAAAGGAGAGACAGAGAGGAGCAAGGGAAAGTCTGCCTGCTTCGGTTTGTGCAGAGTTAGTGTGCACATGTCGAGGTGGTTCTACTCTAGTGTACTCACACTTCCTCATAAGTACAGACGTCTGTGTCCAGATATATGAGCTCAAGATGAGTCCAGCCGGAAACCAGTATCTGCTTCCCACATAGTGTTCGTTAGGAGGTGAAGCTGTGTGTATTTGCACAGGAATTCGTACTTCGTAAATTCTAGTGTGTACTTATCCCTGTGTTGTAGTGTTTAAAAAGTTGAAGGTAAAATGCTTTTGCAGGTGGGTTGCTTTTGTGTTTCAAGTGGCTGTAGCAAATATTGGTAATACTCAGACTAAGTTAATTTTTATTCTCTCCAGCAAAGAAGTTGCCCTCCTCTGCAGTTTTCTCTTGGGTCTGGGAGACAGCTGCTTCAATACCCAGCTGCTTAGTATTTTAGGCTTTCTCTACTCCGAAGACAGTGCGCCAGCTTTTGCTGTCTTTAAGTTTGTTCAGGTAAGAACCTCAGACTTCTGTTTAAAGTAGGGTCCTCCTTTGTGCTTTACCTTGTTTTCTTTGGTTACTAAGTTTTGATTTTTAAATGAAACTTGGAAGGAGCCTTTAAGAGGATTTGTCAGTAGAATCAAGAAGCAGTGAGCAGTGTGGTCCCCCCCCCCCAATCTGTAAGAGAGTTTACAGTCTGGTCTTGATGGCTCAGGTGACCGACACTTCCTTCCTTAGAATCCCTGTCTCTCAGTCTGTGTGCACGGTATCCTATTACTCCTGTTTTCTACAAGATGCTATTTAAATGGCAGAGACTGTGGCTTGCTCGGTCATTACCCACTGTTGGCAAGGTCCAGAGTGCGTCTGTGCGTTCTCAGCAGGTGGTGAAGCCACACCTGCATACGGAAGGGGTGGCCACTGATGCTTGTCCCAGATACCCTTCGGTCACACAGCTGGGTGGGGTGTGGATTGCGAAGCCAAGCTGCTCAGTCCTGTGTGCATTCTGTGATTTGTTTTGTTTTGTTTGTTCTTAGTCTATTTGTGCAGCGTTGGCATTTTTCTACAGCAACTACCTCCTCCTCCACTGGCAGCTCCTGGTCATGGTGATATTTGGGTTTTTGGGAACCATTTCATTCTTCACCGTGGAATGGGAAGCTGCTGCCGTTGTAGCCCGGGGCTCTGACTACCGCAGTATTTGAGCTGGTGCCAGCGAGGGGCATGTGCGTCTTCAGAAAACACGGTCAGACACAGAGCTCGGCTGAAGAAGCCATGTTCCTTTTCACACCGTGTTGGATGGTGATCTGTATGGAAAATCAAAGAAGTAAGACTTCAGCCAGCCAGTGCTGGTGTTCAAGTTTACAGATCTTAGCTATTTAAATCAAGTGGAATAAGGGAAACCTGTCTGTCTATTATAATTATTCAAAGCTGTTTTTCGGTTCAGCTATGTCGAGTCCTCTCTAATCATGTTACAGATTGTAAATGTTTTCTTCTCCTCCAGTGCTTGCTGGAAGATGATGCCGTGATCAGAACACTAGGCCATCTGTCATAGAAAGCGTGTATGGGCTGCATCTTACTACCTGACAATAGGGAGTCACTCCACGTGTGTGCTCGGGAATCACATTTTAATAATTAACTTTGAAAAGCTTCCTTCCTCTTGAAATGTTTTGTTTGAGAAGTTTTCTTACCTTGTAGTTCATAGCTTTTAAGTGGCCAATGAAGTATTATAAGATGGAGTGAAATGATCTTAAGTCTTAAAAACATGGATTTAACATCTATAAATGAACGAAAACACATTCAGAAAGCAAACACATGGGCTGGTCCCATGGCTTAGTGGTTAAGGGAGTCGGATCCCACAGGCCAACCATGGCTCAACTGCCAGTTCCAGGGGCTTGCAAACCATGCCGACCTGTGTGTCCGTGCCCAGAATCCTGACAGGATGGAAAAGTGAGGAAGGGACTGCAAGGTGACTGCCCCACTGGGGGGTGCTTCCTCCCTCTCTCTCTCTGTTTTTTGAGTTTTTTTTTTTTTTCTCTCTCTCTTTGACAAGTGCATGCATCCTCTGACAATTAAGAAAAAAAGAGAAAAGCAAGCACAATTTATTTATTTTTATTTTTTTATTTTTTTATTTTTGGAGAGGTTTTCGCTATAGGGCACGTGCGCTCGCCAGACAGACAGAGAGAGATAGACAGAAAGCGAGAAATCACCCCCCCCAGAGGGGATGGTCACACCGCAGTCCCTTCTTCTCCATTCTCCTCTCGGGATCTTGGGCACGCATGCACATGCGCCCGGCATGAGTTTTAAGCCACCGGGTCCAGGACATGAACCGCGGTCGACTACGTGTGAGTCCAGCGACATAGCCATTACGCTAACTGCTGGTTCCCAGCAAGCACAATTTACTGGGGAGTACTTTTGTTAGTCATTTTCCTGGCAGATGGGACGCAAAGAAACCCAAAGACAGACCTGTAATGAGATCTGGGCAGAAGGGGGAGACGTCAGCATTTAGACGCTGCTTTAGTAGATGCCCAGAAATTGCGACGTACCTGGGAAAGGAACATAACTTCTGGATACTGAAGATGGGACTCAGAAACCATAAAATTCACCATTTTAGTGTACAGTGTGGGGCCACAAGCTCTGCAGTGGTAAACTATGACACTTGGCGAGGCAGTCTCACGTGGGAAGGTTTGCGGTTCAAGTCCGAGACCTTCCTGAGTATGCCAGGTATGCACGTGTCCACGAGCTGCGGCTGGCCGAGGCTGGTGGTGGATCATAGCATCAGGACTGTTGGTGATGCCTTCTCTCTTGTTCATGGAAGAAATAAACTTTTAAAGAGTTTACAGAAGTGTATAATTTAATGTTCTTACTGTTTACTCACAGGTTGTACATACACACAGGTCACCATTATCTAATTCTAGAATATTTTCATCACCCCAAAAGGAAACTCTGCCTGTTAGCAGTCATTTCCCCTTCTTTGGTGTGGAACTGCTAATCTATCTGTCTCTGGATTTGCCTTTTCTGGAAATTTCATTTAAATGGGAGAGCTCACTTTTAAATGTGATATTTAACTGTACAAATGAAGTGTTCCATGGCAAAATAAATGAAGCCCAGGGCCAGATGGACTCCACAGTCAGGGTATTAGCAGGGCTCGGCTGCAGGAGGACCTGGTTCCAGGGCACTTGTGTGGTTGTTGCAGAAGTCAGGTCTGCAACAGCATGAGGGTCTCTGTCAGTTTCTTTTCTTTTCCCTTTTTTTTTTTTTTTTTTGGAGTGGTTTTTGCTATAGGGATTTGGCGAGAGGTTTTGCTATAGGGCATGTGCGCTTACCAGAAAGACAGAAAGCGAGAAATCACCCCCCAGGAGAGATGGCCATGCCGCAATCCCTCCTTCATTCTCTCGGGGTCTTGGGCATGCACGCACACGCACCCAGCGTGAGTTTAAGCCACCAGGTCCGGGACTCGAACCATGGTTGACTACATGGGAGTCCAGCGACATAGCCATTATGCCAACTGCTGTTCCCAGGTCTCAGTTTCTTATGGCTGTTGGCTAAGACCACTCTGTTCCTTGTCACTTGGAGCTGTCCTCAAGGTACCTCACAACATGGCAGCTGTCTTCAGCCAAGAAAGCAGCAAAAAAAGCCAGAGAGTCAGCAGTGAAGGCCCGCTCCTGCAGGTCACTCTCAGGAGCAGCTTGCCATCGCCTCTACCGCACTCTGTTTGGAGGTGCCGGTCACTGGTTCAGCCTGCCCTCAGGGGAGAGGGGTCCCCAAGGGTGGGGTACCAGAAGGCATGGGGTAAGGCTGCCTGGCACCAAGGCTTATGTTTCAGGTGGGAACTGGTCTCCCTTGCCAAGTTTTCTACCTTATTCCCAAGTTCCTCCTCCCAGGTTTTTGTGCCCCGTTTGCTCGTAATGGATCTGTAGAACTTTGCTGGCAGAGTTAAATATAGCCTTTTCTTGACACTGGGTATTTTAATCCTAGAAAACTATCATTTTATCACCACTTGTAGAATTCCTGGTGATTGTTGGGACCAGCAGTTGGCATAATGGTTATGTCGCTGGACTCCCACGTAGTCAACCGCGGTTCGAGTCCCTGACCTGGTGGCTTAAATTCACGCTGCGTGCATGTGCGTGCGTGCTCAAGATCCCGAGAGGAGAATGGAGGAAAAGGGATTGCAGAGTGGCCAACCCCCCCCGGGGGTGATTTCTTGCTTTCTGTCTGTCTCTGTCTTTCTGATGAGCACATGCACCCTATAGCAAAAACCTCTCACAAAAAAAAAAAATTCCTGGTGATTATCAAAAAGGGAAGGGAGGAACCAGCAGATGACCGCTTTCTGTCTCTGGAGATTGCACGCTTCTTATGCTCCCTATAACAAAGACCTGCTTAGAAGAGAAAAAGATTGTGGAGGGGAGGGAAATACAGTGAGGTGCTATACTGAGAAGGTCAGGAGCTCAGCTTCCTGGTCGTCACATGCTCAGTATGTGCTTTATTACTTAAGTTCTGCACTTGCTTTTCTTGTTTTGGGTTTCTTTCTTTCTTTCTTTCTTTTCTTTTCTTTTCTTTTTTTTTTTTTTTAGAATTGCTTTATTTAACTTTATTTATCCATTTATTTTTTTACTTTAATTTGACCAGAGAGGGACAGAGTGCGATTGAGAGAGAGAGAGGGAAAGTGAGAAAGCAAGCTGCCAGATCCCAGACTTGAACTGCAGTCGGCCATGTGGGAGTCCAGTGCCCTTAACCACCTCGTCACCTGCTGGCCCCTGGGGATTTTTGTTTTTACTCAGTTTTTGAGTAACTATAATGTTGATTTTGGTGGTCTCTTTAAATGACTGGGTAACAGTAAACTCGTCTTTTAAATTCTCAGCACTAGTTAAATTAAAAAGAAAATGTGACAGGGCCAGTGGGTGGGATGGTGATTAAGGTACTGAACACTCCCCATGGCTGACCACAGTTCAAGTCCCAGACCTGGTGACTTGCTTTTGCACTTTCCCTCTCTCTCTGTGTCTTTCTCTGGTCAAGTTAAGAAAAAAACAAATGAATGAATAATTAAAAATTAAGATAATTCTAAAAAAAAAAAGTAACAATATGAATAAAGAGTTTTAACTTTTATGTTTATCTTAAGTATACTACCAAATAATTTTACCTCCACACCCCTTGTTAAATAGAAGCCTCGGCTTGGTCTCACTAGGATGTATGTCAGTATGGGGGTGCTGCTCTTTGGCTGCAGGTTTCAGACCGCACTCGTTGCACATTTGACTTAGACCCTGAGAAGCCTTGATTGAACCACAGATGGGTTTCTGTGAGTATACACATTCCTTCCTCCCTCCCCCCATAGAATTTTTCCATGTCCAGACTTGAAAACCTTTAAACGAGGGCTTTTGGTACGAATGGAGGGCTTCTGTGCTCCAGGAGTTTCTGTTGGTTGGTTGACTTTTGACTGGCATACTATATGTCCCTTGGGAGTTCTTGAATTCTCAGAATACAGGTCAGTTGTCAATAGTACATCCTTTACTAGGATGGCTGCTATTAAAAACCAGAAAGTGAGTGTTAGTAGGATGTAGAAAAAGTGAAATCCTTGTGCCCTGTTGGTGGAGGTGTAAAATGGTACAGCTGCTTTGGGAAACAGTATGGCAGTTTCTCAAAAATTATGTAGAATTCAATATAATGTGACCCACCAATTGCACTTCAAGGCGCATGTTCCGAAGGATTGAAAGTAAAGACTCGAAAGATACTTGTACACCCATGTTCATAGCAGCGTTATTCCCAGTAGCCAAAAAATGGAAACAACTCCAGTTGTTCAGTAATGGAAGAACACACAAAATATCCATGTGTTGGGATATTACTCAGCTTTAAAAAGGAATTCTCAAAAAATAAAAATAAGATTATCCAGCAGTTTCACTTTAGGGTGTGTACAAAAAAAGAATTGAAAGCAGGGGGCCAGCAGGTGGTGTGGTAGTTAAAGTGCTGGACTCCCACGTGGCCAACCATGATTCAAGTCCTGGACCTGGTGGCTTGCTTTTTCACTTTCCTTCTCTCTCTCCCTCCCTCCCTCCCCTCCCCCCCCCCCCCCCCCCCCCCCTCCCCCCCTCTCTCTCTCTCTCTCTCTCTCTCTCTCTCTCTCTCTCTCTGTCTCTGGTGAGCATATATGCTGTATAGCAAACTTAAATAATCAAGTAAGATAATTTTTAAAAAAGAACTGAAAGCAGGTCTTAAAGTGGTTTGTTCACCCATGTTCACAGCAACATTGTTTACAATAGCCAAAAGGTGGAAACAACCTAAGCGCCCACTAGCGGATGAATGGATAAACAAAATGTGGTACGGCTCTATAATGGAATATTATGCAGCCTTAAAAAAGGAGGAATATTCTGACACAAGGCACAATACGGATGAACCTTGAGGTCATGAGGTTGAATGAAATAATCCAGCCACATGAGGCAGAATGCTGAATTACTCCATTCATATGAGGTAGTGAGAGTGTCAAATCCATAGAGACAGTAGATTGGCGAGCTAGGGGGAATGGGGAGTCAGTGTAATCAGGGTTTTGCTGTGGCACAATGAAAAAAGTTCTGAGATGGATGGTGTTGATGGTTATGTAGCAAAGTGAGTACCAATGGTCCACTTAAAAACTGTTGAGATGGTGGAGACCAGATGGCATGATAGTTACGTCGTTGGACTCCCATAGTCTACTGCAGTTCGAGTCCCAGACCCAGTGGCTTAAACTCACACTGGGCACGTGTGCGTGCATGCCCAAGATCCCAAGAGGAGAATGGAGGAGAAGGGATTGTGGCATGGCCATCCCCTCTGAGGGGTGTTTTCTTGCTTTCTATCTCTCTCTTTCTGTTTCCAGCAAGTGCACTCACCTTATAGCAAAAATCACTCTTAAAAAAATAAAAACTGTTGAAATGGTACATTTTCTGAGTATTTTAT